GTGTGTGTGTGTGTGTTAATATGCGTTTCCTTACATTCATTGTAGTGTTGACCTTAGCTACAGTCTCGTCATCCAGGGGGAACTGGTAGATCTGGACGCCGTTGCTGACAAGCTCACTCATGATCTTGATCTTGAACTTGTGCAGCTCGCTCTTACTGATGGTGTCAGCTTTGGCGATCACTGGGATGATGTTCACCTACAGCAACATGGGATATATGTTCATGTACATGCACACAATAACCCTTGAATTCAGGCAGATTAAATTAGACCGCTGGTTAATGGGATCGGAAAAGAGGCATATGCCATCTAGTTTTCATAAACAGTTACAGCAACAGGTAAATAACGCTTCTTAGTTGGAAACTACAAGTGAGGGCATAAGACAAAAACATGACTGGATGATAAAATGTTTAGAGACGTCGCATCTGATTATATTCATACATTTTCACATTTTTATAGCCAATAGCCAAATACAACTGAACTCCCTCATAGTCACCCATTTTGATACCAAAAAGATGGATGACTGGATGTCAACATCTAATGCACTATGCCTGTAGCCCCCATGGTGTGGTAGCAGTTATGGTTAGTGTTAACTTAATGTAGTTCTGAATATAGTAACTTCCTTGAACTCTGAACAGAGCTGCTCCCGATGCCAAAGACATCTAGCACCAGAGCTAAAACAAGCTAATCTCACTCACCAACATACCATAAAGCTCCATGCAGACACATCAGTCTGACTCTGGCAAAGTACAAGCAACAGTACAATTAAAACAAAAAAAGTTATTTATTTCAACAGTATTTGTTTTTATTACTTTATCGAAAATACTGCTTTTGGATAAGTGTTATATAAACCAGATTTACTGATGTTATTTTTGGCCCAGCAGCCCACTGTGCTGTCCAAGTCGTCCCACATTCCTCTCCTGCCTGTCTGTCCGTCATCTCGTCGTACCAAAGAGAGGCTTGGAATGAGTTGTTGTCACTAGACAAGTTTCTGGGCCAGACCACACACACACACACACACACACACAGAAAACACACTGATCCCAGCAGAGAAAACAAAACAATGCTAGGAGATCTGTTCCAACAGCTGTCTGTGTGAGTGACTGTCTCTCCGTCAGTGCTGCATATGCAACAAATGGCTCATTCTGTGTGTATCTGTACAGTGACACAAAAGGACAACTCAAGTGTGTGTGCGTGAGGTGATTACAGCATTCCACTGCTTTTTCTACTCCATTCACACGCAAATCCAGGGTTACTGACACTCCAGAGCAGCAAATCACACAAACACACAAAAAAAACACAGTCACTACACACTGAGAGCATGGGAAAGTTTCTGACCACTTCAAGGGAGGGGTTTAGCCAAATGGATGGTGAACCTCTCCCAACAGTCAGACATAAAAACAGCAAAGTCTAGAAACAACCACAGCACAGTCTCTACTGCCCATTAACACATACACATCAGTTAATCATGTAATGTTCACATTGGATTCTTCAGTGTACAATGTGTCCCTATTGACCAATAATAAATAATCATATCTCCTGGTCAGTGCTTTATGGAAGCCCAACGATTTGACAGGTCTATTTTAAAACATCCCTGTCAATAGAAGTCAGTCCAAGAATTACAGACACATTTTAGGTCAATGCACCGTCATCTCTCCAAAGTCAAATACCGGCGATATTCGCCTTGTTGGTTGACATCAGCCTATCAGCAAATAAAGTG